GGCCTGGGCGCTGTCCCTCAGCTCTTCAGCTCAAGGCGAGCGCTCTACCACTTGAGCTACAGCGCCACTTACGGTTTTCTGGTGGTTTATTGGAGCTAGGAGTCTCACGGTCTTTCCTGCCCGGGCTGGCTTTGAACCGAGATCCTCAGATCTCAGCCTCCTGAGTAGCTAGGATTACAGGCGTGAGCCCCCCAGCGCCCCCAGCAGTTGTCATTCTTGTCCATCACTGCTTCAGAGACCCTTCACCCCCACACTACTGAGTCACCTACCCTCCAACGACACCCAGTTTAGTCAGAAAAGCACCCTCTGAAATCGACTTAGTCATACATGTGTGGGGCATTGCTCTTTCCTACTAGTAGCTGTGAAATGAGTCCTGAAAGAATGAACGTTAGAGAAATGCAGGGAGGGCCTGAATTCCTAGGGGACCAGAACCCTACAACCTACCTGCCTGGAGGGCGCAAGGCCATGTGGGTACCGTCCCGGAACAGAACACCACTGCCCCCATCCGACAGCTGGTAGGCAAAGCCATACTTGCTAGAGTAGTCCACCCATCTGGGAGCCCAGAGAATGGGCCGCTGCTCCCCTGGGGGGGCCTGCATGGCTGGGCACAGAGGGAAGGTGAGGGGAATGGGGGTGAGGCACCAGGCAGGCTGGCCAGGGACCCAGGGCTCCCACAGTGGACAGAAGTCCAGGAGGGGGCAGAGGGGAGGGGAGAGGACAGCAAGTCACCATCTCCTAGCCTGTGCCTTGCAGGTAGAAACCCAGCCTGGACAGCTCTCGCTCTGAAAGTGAGTGAGCCCAAATTGCTCACAAGTGTTCAAAGCATTAGGAAGCCTTGGTTTTATTTTATTACCCATTTTTTTGAGCCTCGCACCAGTGGCTCAAGCCTGTAATCCTAGCTACTCAGGAGGCTGAGATCTGAGGATCTCAGTTGGAAGCCAGCCCAGGCAGGAAAGTTTGTGAGACTCTTATTTCCAATAAACCACCAGAAAACTGGTAGTGGAGCTGTGGCTCAAAGTGGTAGAGCACGAGCCCTGAGCAAAAGGAGCTCAGGGACAGTGCCGAGACCCTGAGTTCAAGACCCATGGCTGACCACAAAATAAAACAACAAAACCCAGACACCTCCCTCAGACCCCTGAGAGAAGGGTACCCTCCCCCCAACAAGTGCTGTCATGGCGGTAAGAGGACTCGAGGACTCGTTGGGACTCCTCATGTCCTGAGGTTCGTGCATGGGATACAGGCAACGCTCCTGGACACCAAGGGAAAGAGTGGGGCTGCTTCCTACCCACGAGGCCGGCCTCCAGGCAAAGCCGCAGTTTCCTGATGGCTGCCTCCACCTCCTGCAGTGGGCTCTTCCCAGATCCTGGGGGAAGAAAGAACCATAGATAGGGGGACAGACAGACCCATCCCCAAGAGAGGGGGTCCCTTCAAGTAACTTCCTATATCCAAACCAAGAGAATCCTGTCCATTCTGCTTATATGTCAGTTAGGAAAGTCGAGGTAGGGAGCCAGAAGCAAGGAAACAATCTGTGTCCCTGTTTCTAGATTCTTCTAACCCACCTATGGCCTCAATCAAGGATGAGGGTCTGCTCACCTGCCGGGTCACTCCGCAGGATTCCCTGTGTGATGGGGTGGAGGGGAGCCTCGGGGCCGGGAGCCCTTCTCTGGGACAGGGAGGCCTTTGGAGAAAATGGAGATGAGGAGCAGCCCCCAGCCTTGACACAGCCCTGGGTAGTTGAGGAACTCCAAGGATTCCCCCCAAGATCCCTCCCAGCCTGGCCCACAGCAGGACCCATTTCCACTTTGGATAAAGGCATACGTAAGAACTGAATAAATGTGATTGAATGAACCAAAGACTCAGAGCCGGGAGCTCGCACTGTGCTACTCAAAAGGCTGAGATCTGAGAATCACAGTTCAAAGTTCACCCAGGCAGAGAAGTGTGTGAGCCTCATCTCCAATTAACCACCAAAAAGCTGGAAGTGGAAGTGTGGCTCAAGTGGTAGAGTGCTAGCCTTGAGCAAGGAAGCTAAAGTTCAGTGCCCAGGCCCTGAATTCAAGCCCCAATATCAGCACAAAAAAAGATGGAGAGAAAGAGAGAGAGAGAAGAGGAAGAAAAGGAAGGAAGGAAGGAAGGGAAGAAGGAAGGAAGGAAGATAGAAAAAGAAAGAAAGAAAAGAAAGAGAAAGGAGGGAGGGAGGGAGGGAAGGAGGGAGGGAGGGAGGGAGGGAGGAAGTATTGAGCAATGGGAAGAGTCCCATGGTCTTGGGGTGCACCAGGATGGATGACAGATGGGTCCCAGCCCCTGTGAGTGAGTACAGAACCTCTAAGAAGGAGTCCTCCTAGACTAGGGGCCCCAGAACAGATGGAAGCTTCTGTTTAGGTGCTCAGGGAAGCCTGCTGGAAGAGGGCATCAGAGGGCTCAGGGACACCCTCTATAGGTGTCCCCTGTCCTCACCCCAATAGCTCACCTCACTGCCCCACTCCATGGACTCCGGTTCTGGCCCCTCTTCTCCTGGACCTGAGGCCGTATTGGGAGTGAAGGGACCTGAGGGCGGTACAGGCTCTGGGCGTCTCTCCCCTGGTATAGGCAGAGGCACCTGCCAGTCACCTCAATCCCACCCCCACTGTAAATGTGGACAAATGGCGGTACACCGGGGGGGGGGGTGGAGGTAAGCAGTTGTGGACAGGTAAACTACTCACAGGGTGGCCCGCATTGAGTCACCAGCAGCTGTCCCACCTTCCTGAACAGCCTGCCCAGAGGCAGGGGGAAAGCGAAGATGGGGGGACTGTGACAGGAATGGGGAGGCAGCCGCTCCGGAGTGAAGCCCTTCAGAGAAGGAGGGCTCAGGCTCAGTCCCAACTGTGAGCCCCTCGTCCTCTGGGGTGACCAGTCCTCGGGATGCGCCCCCACCTGAGTGAAGAAGTCTTCCTGCAACAGGTGGTCCAAGCTGGGTCGCTCAGCTGGGTTGGGTGCCAGGAGGCGGGCGATGAGTCGGCGAGCGTTCGGTGATAAGTGGGCAGGCTCTGGATAGTGGCCATCACGGATATTTTGGTACATCTCTGACAGGGGTGTCCCCGTGAAAGGGGGCGTGCCAGTCAACACGGTATACCTGGAAGAGGTGGGAATCAAGAACAAAATGTGGCTGAGCACTGGTGGCTTAACCCTATAATGTTAGGAAGCTGAGGATCATAGTTTAAAGCCAGCGTGGGCAGGAAGTCTGTGAGACTTTTTTTTGGGGGGGGGATTGATTATGGGGCTTGAACTCAGGACACTGTCCCTGAGCTAGCTCTTTCTTTCTTTTCTTTCTTTCTTTCTTTCTTTCTTTCTTTCTATTTTTATTTTTTCTGGTCAGTCATGGGACTTGAACTCAGGACCTGGATACTGTCCCAGCTCTTTTGCTCTTTTGCTCAAGTGAAGTGCTCTACTACTTTGAGTCACAACTCCAATTCCAGCTTTTTGTGATTAATTGGAGATTAAAAATGGCATGGACTTTTCTGCTTGAGCTGGCTTTGAACTAGGATCCTCACATCTCCGGCTCCTGAGTAGCTAGGCTCACAGGCATAAGCTACTGGTGCCCTGCCTCCAAGATTCTTATCTCCAAAAAGCTGGAAATGGAGCTGTGGCTTAAGTAGTAGAGCACCAGCCTTGAGTTAAAAACTCAGGGACAGCGCCTAGTTCCTAATTCAAGCCCTAGTACCAAGACAAAAACAAAACAAGGTGGACTCACGCCTACCTATGTCTGTACCCAGCCACATACACCTGCTTTCTACACCTGCTGCGTTCCCTTTCCCATATCTCTGCTCACACCTGCTCATTCCTGTGCTCGCAGCTCAGCAGACTCCATCTGTCTGCCCACCTGCCTCCACACCTGGCTCTCCTGGACACACCTGGGTTACACTTTTTCAATTCCACACCTGCTCCTCTCCTGCATCGCTCCATACCTGCTGCCCGTCTCCCTATTCACCTTCCCTGACCCCCTTCCCCGTGCCGACCTACCTGCACCTGGTCCCACCTAGGTGGCCCTGCCCACTTTCCCCACACTGGGACACACAAGATCCCACTTACATGATACAGCCCAAGGCCCAGATGTCTGACTGGCATGAGTGTCCCTTTCTGGACACCACCTCTGGGGCCAGGAAGTTGGGAGTCCCGCAGAGCACTCTGGGAGATAAAGAGATCTGGGCTCAGGAAGGCCAGAGATCCAGGTTAGGGTTGGATCACCCAGATCCCCCCTCCTCTCACCTGTGGCAGTGGCCCCCAGGCCCTACTTTGGCAGCCAACCCTAGGTCTCCAATCTTCACTTCCATATTCTTGTTAAGGAAGAAATTACCTGGGGGAGGGGGGCTGGTGTGAGGGTAGGTGCTCCCCCACCCCTAGCTCCTTGTGGTTGCTCTCCCTGTACTCACTGAGCTTCAAGTCTCTGTGCACAATTCGCCGCTGGTGCATGTAGCGCAGGCCGCTGATCAGGCCTCTCAGGTAGTAGCGTACCTCTGGCTCTGTCAGGGTCTGCCGGGCCTTCAGCACATGGGCCAGGGACTGCAGGTTCAGACAAACCCATGACAGGCAAGCAGGATTAAGGATGGGGTGGACACAGATGGGCATAGATAAGGACATAGGTGAGTTCAGATAGGCCTACATGGCCCCAGAAGAGTTTGAAAAGAGCTACATGCAAGCCTTTATTTATTTATTTATTGTGTTTGAATCCAGAGCCTGGGTGCTGTCCCTGAGCTTTTGTGCTCAGGGCCAGTGCTCTACCACTTGAGTCACAATTCTACTTCCGACCACACAATGGTTAATTGAAGAAAAGTGTCTCACAGACTTTCTTGCCTAAGCTGATTTTGAACCATGATGCTCAGATCTCAGCCTCCTGAGTAGCTAGGTGTGAGCCACCAGCACCTGGCTAGATGATCAGACTTGAACAAAGCATGGGCATCCACTATGCACAAAGATCCAGGTGGCCTCAGGCACAAAGATCCAGGTGGCCTCAGATGTACACCTGAGCAAGGTGGGCAGAACATGTTTAAGAGGTCTATACAGGCAAACTAATTTGAACTGGGCCAAGGGAGTCATGGCTGGGGGGAAGAAGAGCTCAAGTGAGCACAGGGGGCCTGGGGGTAGACATAGGGCAAAGTAGAAACAAGTTCATTCAGCTGGATCTAATGATCCCAACTAAGCTGGCAAGCTGGGCACAGGTGAGCCCCGGTGTGTCTAGGTGTGTGAGCACGGACGGCTATGGATGGACAGATGGTCAGTCTTACGTGGGAACTGGTGACTGTCCACTGGTGGAGGGTACAGGTAGAACCAGGTCGGTAAAGATGGGATATGGGGTGTGCAGAGGCGCCCAGCAGCGCAGCAAGGGCGTGTCCAGCTGCCTCTTGGCCCCGCCCATCCAGGTCCAGCCCCGCCCACACCAGCCCAGGGCCCAGCTCCTGGGGGGGAGGGCCTCCCCTCCCCAGCCCGCCCTCGGTCCCTCCCCCAGGACACCTGGCGGCTGCAGTACTCCAGCACCATGTACACATGGTCGCCGTCAGCAAAGTGTCCGTGGAAGGCCACGATGTTCCGGTGGCGCAGGCGGCTGTGCAGGGCAATCTCCCGCTCCACCTGTAGGGAGCACCCCACACATAGGAAGCCCCCAGCATTCCAGCCCAGCCCAGTGCATGCTGCTGGCTCCTACTACCGGCAGGGAGGACAGGCCGGGGCTTCCCGGGGACGTGGGGCGTGGGGGCGTACCTTCCCCCGAGCGCGCAGCCGCCCCGCGCCGCCCCCGGCCCCGCCGCGCGGCACCACTTTGAGGGCGAACACGGCGCTGGTGGACATGTCAGTCAGCTTGTAGCAGCGGCTGAAGGCGCCCTGCGGGAGACGGGGGTGCGGGCTTCAGAAGCACGGGGCCACGAGGGACCTGGTGCCAAGATGATCCTTTTCTCTCGGTGGCGGTCCTGAGGCTTGAACTCGGGGCCTGGGCGCGGTCGCTGAGCTTTTAATGTTTTATTTTTTGCTCAAGGCGAGTGCTCTACCCCTTGAGCCACAGCTCCACCTGCAGCTTTGTCGGTAGTCATTGGAGATCAGAGTCTCACAGACTTTCCTGCTCAGGCTGACTTGGAACCAGGACCCTCAGATCTCAGCCTCCTGAGTAGCCAGGATGGCAGGGGTGAGCCACCAGCGTTCATCCTGGCTGCCTGGATTTTTTACACACGTACGCACATCTGAGACATAAAGACACACAGCTCACACCCTCATACGTGGACACACCACACACAGACTCACACACACACAACACTGAACACCTACAAAGATGCCACACACACACACTGAGACCAGAGACACACCTGGAGCCACTGGATACAGGCCACTGGCTCCAGAGCAATGCTGTGCACACACACACACACACACACACACACACACACACTACGATGCGTGGACACAGCACACGAGCAACAGGGATGAAATACACAGACCCACAACTCAACATTCAAGAGGTGTTTAGCACAGATTTTCAAGGGCGGAGATGTTTGGCACATCTCAGATGCTTAGCACATTTGCGCGCACACCTGGAAATGACACACACACACACACACACACACACACACACAGGCTTAAAGAGGATCACCCACACCCCAAACACACACGCTCCACAGCCACAGCCCTCCAGAGACGGTTCCCGCCATGGAAGCCACACTCTACAACCGTTATACCCACAGCCCCGGACGCCCAGCCCGCGCGCGCACGCGCAGCGCGGGACCCCCGCGGAGACAAAAGCCAGGCGCGCGCGCGCCCCGCCCCTCGGGGCTGAGACCCCTCCACCCCGATCCAGGCTGCGATCCAGGCCCCCTGGCAGCAATCTCTGGGTGCCACACACGCACGCACGCACACACACACACACCCCAAACCTTGCCAATCAGCTTCCCGCGCCGGTAGACGCGTCCCGAGCTGGGGTCGCGCAGAAAGGTGGCCACCAGCTGGCGGCTCCTCCGCCGCGGCCGCCGCGACGCGGGCTCCATCT